ATGGTATTTTGTATTAGTCTTCAATGGTGCCTTCTTTTGTATTCCATTAGTCCCAGAGTCACAAGAAATTTTGGCTTGTGAGTGGCAGGGCCCAAAAAACAAAAAAAAAAAAAAAAAAAAAAAATGGTCCAATAACAGCAATTTCACAAGTGCAAACCATTATTTTTGCATAATCCTTGCAAGTTGTTTGTCTAATTTGAGTTTGTCTAATTGTACCAGATGGTACAATTCAACCGCACAAGAAGTTTATGTAAATGCCATTAGGATGTTTGCTGTTTCCCTTTTCTGTGAGCTCCCCTACCTTCACTCATGCCTGATATCAGGAGTGAAAGGGAAATATTGTGTGTACCTAAGATCAGGTGTCGGCTGTAAGCAACAACACGGGATACGACACCAGCTTCTATACAGCATGTGCACTTAGCCCACAGCTTGGAAGATGCAGGGGCATGTGGCTGGTTTTTCCTTCACTCACCTAGCTTGCTTTCTTTATACTTTTATTGAGGACTCTTCTTAAGTAAATAGCAGAGCTGCTTCAGGTTACTTTGGATCCCAAATGTCACAGAAATTGTGTTTTTCTTGGGGTATCGCTATTACCTGTCACCTAAGCAGAGCATCTGTTTTGGGGGTTTTGTAAACAACCGTTTTAGAAAAGGATTTTCTCAAAATCCTGAAAAAACTTTTTCCCAGCTAAGAATAAAGGAGGTCAGGGACTTCCCTGGTGGTCCAGTGGGTAAGATTCTGCGCTCCCAATGCAGAGGGCCTGGGTTCAATCCCTGGTCAGGGAACTAGATCCCACATGCATGCCACAACTAAGAAGCCTGCGTGCCACAACTAAAAAAAGATTCTGCGTGCGGCTACTAAGACCTGGCGCAGCCAAAATAAAATAAAAAGGATACAGGAGGTCAGCAATGCAAGTAGCTCTTCATGCGCTCACTCCTCCAAAAGTTACCTGTGGCTCAAAAGCTTTTAAAACAAACAAAAAACCTTCCACGGTTCGCCTGCTTCTACCAAGTTCAGAGAAAGGGAGAAACTAGTTCTTCCATCTTTCCTTCCTCCCTCCTCCAACGGAGAGAGGATAAAGGAAGTTCAGGAGCTTGGAGTTTGCAATCAGACGGAACTGGGTTTGAATCACAACTCTACATTTACTGGCTACACAATTAGGAAAATGGTCTAATGTCTCTAGGCTTCAGTTTCTTCACCTGCAAAACGTGAGTAACAATATGATGCCTCCCAGGACTGTTGAAGGAATTCAGTGAGTCATGTCGGTAAGTGCTTAGCACAGTGTCTGCCACCAGTAAGAGTTTAAACAATGGTGCCTTTGGTTAGTATTAGCGGCACTGTCATTATCACACGTATCTGTTTCAACTCAGGTGACTCAGTTATTCCTAACAAGCCTTGGCAAGTACTTCTGTTCTTGGCCTCCACAGTAACTCTATCTGATGTGAAATAATTAATGTCATGGGCCTGAGTGAATACCAGCTAACTGGGACCCTTTCCTATCAAGTATGGCAGTAAGGCGCCAGGGGAATCAACCAAAGGTCAGTGCCACTCCTCCAAGTACTGGTAGGGAGGGTGGGCAGTGGGTAGGGGACATTGTTCTCAAGGATAAAGGTATTTCCAGACCTTTCCCATCACAGCAGCCCCATTCGGGGCAGCCACTCCATAAGACTGACATAGTCTTGGCTTCCCTGGGAACTATCAGCTGGTGAGCCCCAGGGACGGCAATTTGGGACCTCAAGATTAATGATAATAATAATGATATCTACTGGTCCTGTGTGCTTTCTGTGCTGCAGGCACTGTCCCAGACACTTGGCATAGTTTCTCATCAACTCGTTAACTCATCTTCAAGGTAAGGATCCCTTTTTTTTCAATAAACGTTCACTATTAAAGTATAATATATATGAAGGAGAGAACACAGATCATTAGTACACAATTTGACACTTTTTTATAAAATGAATTATACTAGGTAACTACCACTAGATCAAGAAATAGGACACTTCCAGCACTCTAGAAGAAGCGCTCATGCCCTTTTCTGGTTACTACTTTCTCCTGCCCAGGAATAATCACTATTCTGAAATCCAAACCATAGAGGAGTTTATAGAAATGGTATAATATGATATGTACTCTTATGTGTTGGCTTCTTTTGCCCAACATCATGTTTATGAGATTCACTCATTGTTGTTGCAAATGGTAGTAGTTTGTTCATTTTCATTGCTGTATAGTACTCCACTACATGAATATACCACAGTTTATCCTTGATGGTCATTTAGGTTATTTTAAGTTTATGGTTATTACAACTAGTGCTGCTATGAATATTTGGGGGGATGTCTTTTAGTGGGCATGTGTATACACTTCTGTTAGGTATATTCCTAGGTGGGGAATCGCTGGATCATTGGATATGTTTTAGTAGATGCAGCGAAACAGATTTATAAAGTGGTTACAAGGTAAGGATTCTTAATCCCATTTAACAAATGTGGAAACTGGGGTTCAAAGACCTGAAATAACTAGTCCAGTGTCACAGCTGTTACGTGGAAGAGATGGGATTCAAACCTTCTCTTCTCTTCATGCTACACTGAGGATTTATTGAGAAAATGTAACAGAAGAGAGAAGCAGAAGTATGAAGGTAGCAAACTGCCCAAGTCCCAACTTTTTGGAGAAAATTCACAGCTTGCATGTGAATGTCTTTCAAAATATTTTCTTATACATTACTTTTTTTAAAAGTCTTGGAAATGGGTGAAGTAGAAATTGTGATTCTCATTTGATAATCAAGAAAAGTCAGGCTTGAAAAGTCCCCGATTACTGGAGACATGACACAGGTACTTTTCCTGACTCTACAGTGTGACTTCAGCCCAGGCACCTCTCACTGTGGACCAAAAGCTACGACTCTGGGGCTGAAAAACCCTCATGCATTGGAAGTTCAAACCATATGAGGCTATGAGCCCTCTTTTATTTAGAGTTTGGATCAGGTGGGACCAGGAACCCTCTTGTATTTGGGGTCCAGACCATAGGGGGACAGGAACCAGCTAGCTGGCAGGAGCCTGCCCAGCAGCTACATTCTCTCTAGGCAAGATTTTACATTTGCCCCCAGCAACCCAGTAATTCTACATTGTGATCCTTATAAACGGGTTTCTTGGCATCCTTGGCCAAAGTGAACTGCTGGGGAAAAGGTCACTGGAAAAGTCTTACTCATTGATTTAGAACATCTTCCCCCATCAAAATCCTGCCCATAAGACTAGCCCCTCCTTCCACTACCCGTATGCCATTTCCCCAGGACCTTTATAAAACCCTTGGCCTCTGCAACATCAAATATGAGTTCTCCACTGGAAAACTTCTGCTGAAAACATGGCATTTGGATTGTTTTTTTTTTTTTTTTTTAAATTCCCCTGGGAACCTGCTCGTTTTTCATTCCGGAACTGTTGTCTGGAGCCAATTATCTTTAGGTGGCTTTTCAGTGACCTTTGAATAGGATTTAAACAAGGGATGCAAGATTTCCTATCTGTTGGAACATTTCAGTTACTTTTCTATGGTTGTTCTCAATGCCCTCTCTAGGGACAGGCCACAGAACATCATCACAGGATGGAGCTTAACTCTGAAATAGCCAGGAGAATTTGAGGAGCAATCTGGCTTGATGAGAAAACTCTTGGAAGGTTTGGGTGACTTGCCCAGTACTCTCAGGGAGCTGTTGCATCTGTGGGAGAGTGAACAGATGGGCCCCTCATCTGGCTAGAAATTTACCCAGCTTTCTGTATTTGAGAAGCATAAAGAAGCTGCAGGCAGGATGCAAGGATACCTGAAGAAATCAGAGTAACCATGCACAGGAAGGTGGATGGAGAGCTCTACATTATCCAGAAACAAGGCTTGAATTAGCATTTTGCGTTTCTAAGGTTGAAAAAGAAAAATCAAGCAGCTGCCAGCCATGGTGGATCCATGCAAAAGATAAGAAGGCAGTAGAGGTTTGGTTTATACGATGGCTGCATGCCCGGTGCAGTGCTACCACAGCATGCCCAGGGGGTTACGATCTGTGGTACAGGGCCAAGTGACGTCATTGTCCACTGACGGTCCCTCACAGCCCATGATGCAGCTGAGGCCAGATGTCCCTGAAAGGACCAGCAGGCTCCACAGGACACAGAGGACCAGCTCTCATCGTGTGGCTGTGAAAGGCAAAGGCAGCAACCGGGGCAGGGGAGAAAGCCACAGGCACCTCCTGTCTGGGCAGCATAAACCTCTGGAGTGTAGGGACAATAGAGGGAGGGGGGCCTCGACAGAGAAATCTTGGATCCTTGCCAAGCTGATGCTTGGGAGTAAAAGAGATATGACTTGGTACCCTGTATTTGCGGCACTATTCTCACTGCCTACATTAAGTATTTATAGTGGCTAATAGCACTGGCACGGAGGATTCTCCTTTCCCCTAAAAAGTGTCACAGCGTTTACTCTGGAGATTCAGAAGTTCAAGCCTTCAGGCTCAGAAGCCTGTTTGTTCTCAACTTGATCAGGTCTCTAAGCTCAAAACATGATATGTCCCATGATATATAAGACAAAGAATGAGGGGGGCTGACCACTTGGGCATCGTATAATGCTGCTGAAAGACTTCTAAAATGATTTTCCAGAATTTCAAAGATCTACTGGGAACTTGCTAATTGGAAGCAAGTGCTAGGGAAGCTCAACTTTCTACCTTCCTGCTGCCCTGGAGAAATCCTCTAAAGCAGGGGTTCCCAACCCCTGGGCTGCGGACTGGTAAGGTCCACGGCCTGTTAGGGACCAGGCTGCACAGCAGGAGGTGAGCGGCAGGCGTGCGATCAAAGCTTCATCTGCGGCTCCCCATCGCTCGCATGAGCACCTGAACCATCATCCCCACCCGCCATGCATGGAAAAACTGTCTTCCACGAAACCGGTCCCTGGTGCCAGAAGGGTTGGGGACCGCTGCTCTAAAGTCCTGCTTCTCCGAGTCCCTCCCATGAGCCAGCAGCATCGGCATCGCCTGGGAGCTTGTTAGGAATGCAGAATCTCAGCCCCTACCTCAGGCGTACTGAACCAGAATCTGCACTTTACCAAGATCCCCATGTTACATGTGTGCACGTCTGAGCTGAGAAGGATTGAGCTGAACGAAGCAACGAGCACACCAGCGGGCTCTTGTAGGTGCTGCCACACGGCACGGCTTCCCCAGGCCTGGAGCCTTGGTCCTCTGAGACACAACTGCCCCTAAAACTGAAGGGACCAGCATCTCATCTCCACCAGAGAGACAATGGCATCTCTTCCCAGGAGCACCTGTATGTATGACCCTACCTAACACTGCATGAAACATTATGTTAAGAGGGAAGAAATAAATTCCCAGAGCCTATCATTGCCCTTCTATGAGAGAGAAACTAATTTTGTAGGGCTACTGCAAGGCTGGGAAAAATCCATGATTTAATGGCAGCAACAGGCCCCGGATTGGCTCACTTGGTCTGGAGTGGTGGGCCCACACGTGACAGTCCCCGGAGTCTTCCAGCGCCTGTGTGCACTTTCTCTTCTTGGTCGGTGGCAATGAGGGTCTAAAATTAAGAACCCAAAATAAGGTGAGGATTCTTCTTTTCTCTCCACGTCATAGTTAATCAAATTTAATTTCCCAGGACTCTGCTCTGGGCCTCTTCCTAAGGCTAATTCTAGTTAGTTCCTTGAGTCCTACTAGTCTGCCACACCAGGTGGATACATGGAGTGGACGGGCAAGCTCCTATTCTATGAGCCCTACTAGTCTGAAACTTAGTTTTTCACTCTCCAGTGGATCTGGGATTCACCTATTTGAAAAATAAACTGACAACATTTCCAAAGGCAGAGGACTCATTGAGACAAAGACAGAAGATACTTAAAACTTAAGGGTATATTTTATACCTGAAAATGTTTTTCACATAGAATTTTATCACAGTTTTTGATGGCCTTTACTCGTTTTGCCATCCTCTAGATCCAGAAGGAGGAACGAAAGAGAGGGAAGGCGGAGAGGAAGGGAAAGA